TAGGGCCCTAGTACTGGAATTTTAAAGCTCCTCCAGGTATTCTGGGTTGAGAACCACTGGTCTAATCCCAGCATTGCCCACAGATCCCTCCAGAGCCAGACAAGCAACAGAAATACGGGCAGGGAGTCCCCACTCCTTGGGTAGCCCGTACTCAGCGGTAGTTTGCTGTTGCCTTGTAGAGACCTGTGCCCGACACTGCCAGATCTTCCCATTTCCTCGTGGTTTTTGTTTTGTTTTATTTTCAAGAAGCCTCAAATCCAGATTTTTGTTTTTAACGCTAGTGCCAAATATCTTCAAAGCCCATGCCAAACAAAACATGTGTGTGCAGAGTGCGTCGGACCCGAGGGCTGTCGTTTAGCAACCTCTGATCCAGTCCAGTGGTTTTCACACTTTTCTTAGCCACAGGGGTTTTTCTCCAAACGGGCTATTTTGTGGAAGTGATGTCGATTAAATCAGTCTATGTGAAACTTGGCGGGGAGCGGAAGAGAGGCGCACTGAGACCCTCCTTCCAGTCCCAGGTGGCTCTCGTGTCTGCCCCTGAAGAAGCTTCTCTGGTTCTGGGGAACCTCCCAGATGGGGAGACTAAAGCCCTTCAGAACACAGTCCCAGAGCAGAACCAGCCCTGGGGGGGCCATTTGGAAATGTGGAGGAGGGTGTTTGGAGTTGTCGCAGTGACAAAGCAGACGCGACCGGCATTTAGTGGCTGGGGGGCAGGGATACTAAACTTCCTATAACATCCAGGACAATAAAGAATTCTATGTGAAGTGCCAACAGCTCCCCACTGGGAAGCACCAAATGAGGAATCGGAGACCCAGAGAGGAGAAATTAGCTGGCAGGTTCATGGCAAGTGCACGCTAGAACTTTGGCCCCTGCCCATAGGCTTGGGGACTTCATCTGTACCCATCGGGAAAGGTCACTGCCTGGGGCCAAGTTGGCCGTGCTCCACAACACAGGGGAGAGAGGAATATTTTACAGATTAAAGCCAGAGAGTCTCCTGAGGTGGGGCAGCCACTCCATAAAAAGCTGAGCGCCAGATTTTGAGAAGTGAGGCTGGGCAAGGACATGGGGGGCTGCGGGGTCTCTTCAGCCCAGGCTGGAGGCCAGCGCTCGGCCCTGGGAGGAGGCAGATCCGAGGAGCGGAGGCGCCGGGAAGCGGCGAGGCAGGGCAGTCACACAGGTTTGTTGGCCCCATTGGTCATTTAATCCCTAGGCCAAAATATGCCAGGTTCAAAAATAGGATGTGGAAGCAGGAGGGGGAAGGAGGGTGTTCCCCAGCACTCCAAGGAAAATCGAGCCAGAGGAGAACTCATCTGCCTACTTTTTGCCATCACAATGCCACACGTTGTACAGTCTCCCCGCTTACAAAATCATGAGTACAGAATCGCCATCTCTGTAACCGTCAGGCAAGGATTAAATTATCCACATTGTACAGGAGAGAGAGCCTCAGAGCGGTGCCTCTATCGCACAGTCCTTTTAACGATCCGACTTTGTTTGTTATGCTTATGTGAATCACCCCCAGGAGGAAGGTCAGGGAGGGAGTCCCATTCCCAGTTTGGGGTTCAGGCCCGCAGTTCCCAAGACTGTGGTGGGCACCACAAGCACGGGGAAACTTGGTGAAATTCAGCAGACCGCATCCTGCCCCAAGGAGCCCGGGTCCCCATCCTCTGTAGCAGCACCCCAAGTGATTCTGACACACACCAACTCCCGCCCGCCTAACCCAGCTCAGCGAGACGGGTCCACTTGTCGTGAACTTGGGTGTCGCGGCGACATCACATGTCTACATGGCTTTCCAAATGCTTCTTCTCTCAGCTGGTGATGGGGACAAGACACCATCCAGTGGTGTGCTAGTTAGCCGGCTCTTGGTGACAGGGGAGCCCCTGATTTGTAGTGTGCCTGTTTCCACGTTGGGACTACGAACGTGCCCCGTTTCCAGCTACCGACATCGCATCGCTGAACACGGAGCTGAGGGAAAGAGGCCCACAAGCGACGCTTTTAAGAGGGTGTGAGCCGGCCCCAGCACACGTCTGTTGTGTCCCATCTCCAAAGCCAGCGACCTTTCCCCTAAAATATCCAGAGCTAGGACATGGGGCGGGCTCCCGACGGAATCAAGGAAGGTATGTTCTAGGACAGCATCATCTTCAGGGGAAGAATATCAACTAGTCACCGTGATTCCCAAAGAGCCACAGACAGGACTTTGAGTCACAACTCTGTGAGTGTTGGTTGCGTGCTCTTGGATAAGTCGCAAACCTCTCCAGGCCTCAGATTCCTCATACGTAACCTAGAAATGGTAACACAGTCCCTAACCTTAAAGGCTAAAGGATATAATGCATGTAAAATGCGTAAGCTAGGACTCAGCAACAGTCGTGTTTTCCATTTTAAGCACCCCTGGCATTTTAGACCCAGGAAGGACCTCTCCACTCTTCCCATCTAAATGCTTGCTGGGACATCTGAAGACTCGAGGAAGACAATTCCTTTGCTCAGCAGGCCACAGCCAGTTGCAATGGAAGCCATCCTGTGTCCCTGTCTCTTGACTCAGAAGGTCGGGAAATTTGTCACTAGACTAGCCTTTCCGCCCCCAGAGTACACACAAGTTGGTTTCCAGGGACTTACCTAGGAGCCAAACTGGAAATCCTGCACGTTGGCCCGGAGCGATCACAGTCGCTGTCTGTGCACAAGTTTTGACAGAGGAAAAAAAAAAAAAAATCCAGAGGCCTTTTGCTTAGGCGGCCTGGGCCTCGGGCTCAGGCTGGCCTTGCAGAAGGTCGCTTTCACCTCTCTGCCACCGACGATGGAAACATTGAAGCTATGGATGGTCTCTGCGTCCTCTTCCCTTCACACCATCTAACGTGTTTTTCATTTCTCTTGGCGGGCTCAATTTCCCACATGTTCTCCCAAGCTCTTCCTCTCGGCTCC